GTAGGAACACCACTGTTGCTGTAGAGTACCGAACTACCGAACTCATAGTAGCCATTTGAAGAGCGCGCGAAAACTCACCAAACTGCCTCCACTACAGTTTTAAAGTCCAGTGACTCAGTCAGTCTCCCTTCGTCATGGACGCTACTCTAGCTTGCAGCTGTTGGACCTTTACTTCTGCTCCCCATTCCCGATACAACTCAATTGCACAATCAAACCTATAACGAGCCTCGTTGTAATCTTCCATGCAATCGAGTAAAAAGTCCCCAAACCGTTCATTGATGATCGCTTGCTGGCTCACAATGCCCATTCTTGCGGCGACAGCAATGGCAGCTGCATAGTAATCACTTGCTACACTCGTCCGCCCTCCAAAAGCCGCAAGCTCCGCATTCAACAGCGTTTCCATGAAAGTAAGGTTGGGATTTCCCTTCTTCGCAATGGTTCGAATGTGCTGGAGGCACTTTTTACCTATTGAAATGTACTTGGACGTTCTGGTTTTTCGCGCGGCGCTATAGCACAAAACAGCCGCGTGCGCTTGATAGCAATCGCTCAGTAAAGTGCCCTGGATACAGGAAGGATGCATGCACGATGGTTAGAAGGCATCAAAAAGTGCAGGAACATTGCTACCTTGTACCGGTACTAGAGCTAGCAAGCCACGCACTCACCGGGTCCATGTCCTCTTCTTTGACAATCTTGTAGAGTTCCAACAATCGATTTGCCCCATTGACATCATCACACATGAAGTATGCCAGGTGGACGAGACTTCTGTAAATGGAGAAGACCACGGGCATCGCCAGCTCTTTGAGCTCAGACGCATCAAACACGTACGCCCGTCCTTTCAAGACAAGTGGATCATCTGAGTGACCCAGAAGGTTCTGAACCACCTGCCAAAGATGCATTGCTTGCATCACAGCCTGTTTGTTTGAAAACGAGCTAAGCTGTTTCGTGTAGACACCCAAGTCATCATTCAGAGCGAGCAAATTCTTGCCTGTGTGAAAGGCTACGTCGCAGTAAACATAGGCAGCCCAACTTGCATTTTCAACATCTCCTGTTGCCAAACCACTCTTGTAGGCTTCTATAAGCTTTTTGGCGCAGGTCTGATACGGTGTCGAGGCGTGGAGCACAAACCCATATGACACGAAAAGCGTGTGAGCCTTTGCCTGTGAAACGTCGCGAGTAAGCAAGTAGTGAGAGAGCGAAGCTTTTGCAAGGCACCAGAACAATTTCATCAAATGACTTGCCACTTCATATTCTGATTTGGATTCCATCAGGCTCAATGCATAAGTTGCGTATGTACGAGACATCTCAAAATCCTGCGAATAATAGAGGTGTGAAATGAGTGGCAAGCAACCATGTGGAATGTTAAGCTGGCCCTAGTAGCACGAACCTTCAGCTGTGCCATTAGAATCAAAGCCACGAGTGCAAAGGCGCTTGGACTGTACTCTGATATCCCATACTTGATACTCCTGTTGAAGCTCTTGAGAATCGCTAGAGGAAGGTATGGCGACCTCAGCTGGTACGCTGGGGCCACGAGCCTTTGAAGCATGATCATGGATTGAAGTTGGGAACAGTCTTCCATTTCCTTGTACGCCTGGATTGAGGCGGGGCCAACCTTCTTGATGGCCCGTTTCATCTTGATAACTCCCCACAAGACATGAAACATCTGTTGTCGTTTTGGAAGTATGCACCCAAGCTCGGAAAGAACATGCACAGCGATGTCCAATGCTCGTTGGTAATCTTTCTTGGTACCCCACATGAACTTCACCAAAATGTCGTAAGCGCGAAACTTTTCCGTTATCGATAGTCCTGTTTGATGGACCACCTCGTTGCAGTATTGTAATATATGCCCGCCGTCGACATCACCGGCGCAGGTCTCCGACTCCGCAGCTGACGTATAGAGCTCTAAACTCAGTGCGCGGTCACTTTCCCAGTGGTGGTCTGGAAGAAACTGAATTCCAGCTTCCAGGTACACCACAGCTTGCGAAAACGCTGCAGACGCCATCACGGTATGACCAGCTTCTAGGCATATTTTGGCAATCTCGAGGCGTTTCTGCTCTCCCATGTTGGAAAGTTTCGCCAATCCTTTGACGAGAAGATTGGCTACCACCAAAATGTTTTGCCGCACCTCAATCGGCGAGAGACTCCCCAGTAGTACTTCTCCAACGTGAAACTGAACACTTTCCAATTCTCCAGGTGGGATCAAGGAAAACGCTGCTTCTTGCACCTACGTACGTTAGGCAGAAGCAGTCAGTCAGACAGCATAACTGAGCCAAGGCATCACAATTCAAAAAGGCACCAGTAGTGAACTTGCCCCAAAGATACAGCGCACGAATCGAATCGAATCTCGCTATCACGCCCCACTCTTACGTACCTTGTCGTGAACCCAGCTATACAAGTCATCGCGCAAGGGCGAGAGGAACCCCCAGTCCACGCAAGCGGCCAACCAAGAGTCCGCACTAACGTCTTGTTTTGTGGAAAAGGCGGAAATGACAACCGCGAGCTTGTGGAAGGAAAAGGTTGCCCCGAGGCAAGCGGCCAGTGGTAGAAATTCCGAGAGTTCGTCGGGCAGAGTGGACATTTTCCATTTCATGTGATCAATGACATTGTCTGTAGCTTGAGCCTTTTCGCGTAGTTCGTCGCTGCTACATCTCCAAGTCCAGCTCATTTTCAAGAGGTTAAATGCCAAGGACCCGTTTTGTTGCAAAGACTTGAGGAACTCCATGATAAAAAAGGGGTTCCCCAGCGTCTTTGTGTGGACAATGGAGGCCAGTTCTGCCAAAGAACAATGATCCGAATGACCATCGTCGCCGTTGTCGTCGTCTATACGAAGGACGTCGGCGAGCATTTCCTTGGTAGCTTGAGGAGTCAAGTTTTGTAACGAAATTTTCGTTACGGATATCGCATCCTCATCGTCCCGTAAACCCTGCAGCCATTCGGTCAACATGGAAGTTTTCTCGTCATCACGGTAGCATCCAACAACGATCAAACTCGCTCCCTGAACATCATTGCTTTTGCCTTGGTTCTTTGGTACCTCCATGAGGGTTTCCAGTAACCGAAAAGACTCTGCATCTGAAAAATGTAAATCATCCAGAAACATGATCATTGGTCGTTGCTGTGATTTGGTGATCCACCTGGCGACCGTCCAGAGAAAAGTTTGAACGGCGAAGCGAAATCGCTGCGAAGCTTCTCCCAAATGAGCCACTGTTGTCGTGGCTGCGGGGACATCCTCCTCCTGCTGCCAATGGTCATCCATATTGCCTTCCTGTAGACTCAGAGGCATCAGATTGGCAAGAGCGGGTAAGAGCTGTTGCAAGGCTTGGATGGACGAGGCCCCCAGAGCCTGCTGTAGCTCTTTCTTTTGTTGGACCGTAACGTCGTGTTGACAATGTTCACAAAGCTCTCGGAGAGCTTGCGTGATTCCAGAGTAGGGAACCTGTCGCTGGGAAAAGTCAAATTTGCCTCGGATACAGACGCCGCCAAGGCCGTCCTTGGCATGACAATTGTCCTTGAGAGCCTGGTCCACCAGAGCTGTCTTTCCGATACCTGACGTTCCACTCACCAGAACGACGCGATTCCTCCCCAAGCTGTCTTGAACAAAAACATCGTGGATTTGTTTCAGCTCTTTGGAACGTCCGTAAATTCGTTTGGGGGGATACAACTTGGCAATGTCCTCGGTACAGTTCTTTTTTACGATGCTGCTTTTGGGTTTGTGGAAATGGGGCAAGTAAGTACAGCCAACAGAATCACCGATGCTAGTAGAAGATCCGTCCAAACTCCCCTTAGACGACCTCCTTCCGACATGGCTTGGTATCGAGAGGGCTCTCGTAAGAGGTCCTCTGGAAGAAACGTAATCCTTACCCAACTCTTCCTGAGTTCCACTCTGAGTTCCACTCTGAAGGCTACTCTGAAGGCTACTCTGAAGGCTACTCTGAAGGCTACTCTGAAGGCTACTCTGAAGGCTACTCAAAAGGAGACTACCACCAGCAGTCTCGGACTCCCCCTGTTTCTCCCTCCCTTTCATCTTGGCTTTGGCAGACCACACCATTATGGATGCTTTACGCTTATGTGTACCTTGCTTCACAAGTTTACAGCGGACACAATCTTGGCTTTGGCATCCATGAAGGAAGCCCGTCGCTTGATGAGTGCTCTTCGTGCTACGTGCATTGCTTGGTTGTTTTACGGCGGACCCGGACACGAAAAGACACTCATTTTGTGCTTTTGGGTCAAATACCCGAGAAGTGGACAGAGCTGTAAAACAATTGAAGCCTCAATTCTGCTTCTACTAGCTAGTGCAGTGCACGTTAGCTACTATAGCGTAATAGATTAAGTAGAAACTATTGAATTGACAACCGAATAGACCAGTACGTAGCAACAAAGCTTGACACGGTGGTGTCTTCGACTATTACTCTAAACCCCCCTTAAAATTTTCAGTACAGGTAGTTAGACTGGCTAGCTCGAGCTAGCTACATCCACTTTGTGCACATTACATATCATGATGGATTGTGGCATGCTTCCAAGGGATGTGCTGTTTTCCCAGTGCAAGATACCGGCTCTTAGCCTTATGCCGACTCGATCTAGATAGGGTTTGAGTTCGACTCATGACTGAGTCTCTCGTGAATGTCATTGAGACAGGGTTCCAATGACCGCTCTAGTCATACTAGTTATGATGAAACATCGCTCTAGTATTTAGCCAGCGTGGTACTTCCACGCTACTAGATAAAGCTAGACGAATCTTCCACGTTCCGTTTTTGGATCGTGGAGTGAGTAGGATTGCTACCGCAACCTACTCTATCACACTCTAAGTTCCCGCGGGAGTTCAGAATCTAAGATCCTTTGGTTGTGATCTCTCTCGTTGATTAGTTTTCATAGCTTTCTAATCCTCTCATAACTTTCATTCTCTCAAACTCAAAAACATCGAAAGAACTTTACACAGCTTTTACGTAGTGCATTTTGTTAAAAAACACAATAGCTTTCAGCTACCTCAACCTTTCCTCAACCATTAAGATTGCCAAAGACGCCAACACCAGCTTCGAGTCTAAGCTGCGCGACAAACCAATCCTTCCTTCCATCGACCTCGACGATGAATGCGAAATCGATGATTCTCGCTCTACCACCTACAAACTTCGCACTGTTCCAGCAGATGCCAACAGCGCCAAGTACACCTTCAAGGTCCAAATCATTATGGATCTGAGGACTCCAACGTCAGACCATCAAGGTGGCTGGACGTATGGAGAAGGTCTTCGTCGGGCTCGCCATTGCTACGCCTGACGACAAACATAACCTCCTCAAGGAGATGACTTCTAGCTCTGCCAAGAGCAGTTACGAATCTAGCTGTGCAGGCCACCGTGAAATACTGTTGGAATGCCTTGCGCCAGATTGCAGTCAATGCGATTCCCCCACGTGACATACGTGGCGGTGAAGACGAAGCCACTTTCCAAGCACGTTTCCAGACTGCCTGGAACGGAGCAGCACAGCCTGCTTTGGACGACACTGACATTAACGTTTGGCATAATGCCTGTGTCGAAGCGGTCTGTCCCTACAAGGCTCTTGAAAAGCAGAAACGCTTCATGCGCCGCAAGATGCGTAAGCCCGCTGATATGTCTACTCGGGCTTATGTCAACAACCTCAGTCGGATGAACGCGATGAACTTCCTCGTCTACACACCTTTTGGACCAACCAAACGTTGAAACATGCGAAGTCATTGACTTGTTTGTCATGGAATTCAGCTCGTGGATGAAGAAAATGGACGAACACGATTCGATTCTTTCTCAGCTCCTATTGGAGAAATACCAATTTGGAGTTCGCGATACGCATGATTCTCCGAAGACTTTGACAAGGGCGGTGATGCAAAACAAGCTCCTTCGAAGAAGAACAAACGCAAGAATATAAGTACAAGTCTACTCGCAAACACGACCCACTCTTCCAAGAACGAAGAAAATGGTGCGACTACCACGAGTCCATCACTCACAACACTGCTGACTGCAAGACCCTGAAGAAGCTCGCAAGGCCAAGTCTAAGTCATCGTCTGACAACGATAAACAAGCCAGCGTACAACAAGAACAAGACTTTGAAACGCAAGTACGACGACGCCAAGCCCTACACAAGAAGGAACTCTCTGTCCTCATTATGAAGAAGGTTTCCAACACTGCGGTCAAAGCTGATCGCAAGTAGAAAAGCGATTGCAACCATGTTGCCAAGCGCAAGTCAGGTGATCAACTCCGAACCAAACAAGGACGACTCCTCTGTTGGATCCTTCAACATGATGGACAAGAAAAAGGCTGCTGTCGACAAGGCCCTTGTGCACGGATGTTTCGACTTTTTCATTCATTCGGATGGAGAGATTTCCGTCTGAGGATTAGGCCAGGAATATGATGCACGGAACATGTTCCGATGTCTACAGATAACCTAAGTGATTAAGATATCTCACTAATTAGTAAACAAGATTTGTTGGCAACTAACGAAGTCTACGCCAAATTAGACAATTGCCTATCAACTACTCAACTAGATACTGACTATCTGTTCAGCATCGTTACTTCGTCCATGGCCAATCTACTCATCAACGGTCGCAAGACAAGAGACCTCGAAACAATCGTCTATGTTAGATTTTACAAAGACGAGAAGAAAGGGAAACAAACAACCCGTTTACACTCTGTTGCTTACAGGATACAAGAGCATCCGGAATCTTTAATTACTTCTCACATAACTCATGCTAAGAGATTCACTTTCCAATGGAGAATCATGGGGGCGTCCAAACATTACGGGCTGCATCTATGAAGGAATTGAAACCCCGCACGAAGTGTAAGGCACACTCGCGACTTCCTGAGTTCCACAATGATAGAATTATCAAATGCGGTAATTTACACTTCACCAATTATTACTTGGGGGCGCAAGATGTGATCATAGGTCAAGACCATCTCTTCGACCTAAGAATCAAGTTTGTTTTCACTACCATGTCATTTGGGTGGAACAACGCATTTTTCCCGTCGAAAGATGGCAATACCAATAGAAAGGAGAACTTCTCTATTTCCGATCCTGCAGCTATCAGACAGGGACAATGCAGATAGTCTCAAGAAGATTCTTTACACGATATACGAACAAACAGACTTAAGGCAGATATGCCAGAGTCGAAAACAGTTAAATAAGGAAAAGCAAGAAATGCCTCATGACTTCTCAACCAAGTGCTCCGACGGCAGTCGGGTGGGGATAGCGTGGTTTGGGAGAGTTCGGAATGGACTGGACTAGGAAGTAGAACTTCGTTCCCGACGTTAAATCCTATTAGACTAGGGCTCACCCTACTCCAAGAGTCCATACCAACACTCGTAAAAAGGAGGTTGAATGTCTCTGCGGAGAGGCGCAGGAGTACTCAAGAAGTGAATGTTCCAAGTGGGCGCGGCACCAACTTTTTATTTCATTCCAAGAAAGAGGACTCGCTCACGATTCATCTCTTTGATTTTTCGGGAACCGAGAGAGAAACGGACAAGGTCGGAAGCCTGTAGTCCTATCCCAAAAAGTGACAAGGACATTGGCTCGTGTGTAAGACCCAGAGATGGAGAGTTCAAGATGCAGGCTACATAAGTCGGAGCCTGAACACAAGGGGGGCACTACCACGATCGAGCTGTCACCTCACTCGAAGCAGAGAGCACTATACCATTGCAACTGCTGAAGATGTAAAGCACGAGTAACAGAGGTTGCCAATGCGCTTATGTAATAGTCCCGAACTCTTCCAAAGGAAGATGAACAACACACATGCATGACTTAGAAAATGTCCGTGCAAACATTGATGATAAACTCATCCCAACGGACGTCGATCTAACGGATCGCGTTGAATAGTTAGATGACTTTTCCAAAAAAGACTTTCAGGAAGTCGAGGAATGGAAAATCAAACGACTACTCTCAAGGCCGTTCCTCGAAGAAGAACTGGAGTATCCAGAACATTGGACTACTCGAGAAGGAAGCCAACCCTTAATTTAATATCGTCTTTTCCTACAAACAGGAAGGAACTTCGTTGATTCATTGGACCAATGACATACCAAGGGCTGCTTTCCAACGGACAGCAGATGGATTAACCATCGTTCTGAAACCAGACGTGGGTTACCCAGTATCCCTGACCGGCTGAGGTTATCATAGACAGAGGACGTGAGTCTCCGCGCCAAGAGTCGTAGAAGACTCTCCGTATGAACTGTGGACTGTCGTCGTCAAGTTCACGCGCTGTCAATCGTTTGACAAGACTTCACACAATCGTTTCAAAGCAAACGGAAATACATGAAGAACCGTCGCCAACGACTTATCCAGAACACAACCGATTAAGGAGACACACGACTACGTGTCCCTCTCAACAACCATTCAATGATACTATGATGATTCATTAGTATCAGAACCGTTAGTTCGGTCAGCCAAGCAAAGGTCCTACCACACAGACCGAGAAAAAACAATGGCACTGTACAGGCTATCGACATGCTACGCCGCAATGGTGGCAAGTCTACCGAACTTGGAAATAAGGTATTTTACACCCATAAAAGGCTGATCCCCTTGTAAGATAGCCATCGTGCCGACGCACTATGTCTACATCCAATCTCCGGAGAGTGCCCAACGCACTTTAAATATATGTTACTCCTTGTCCGACTGATGTCGTGCCTTCCGTGACCTTGTCAGGGGCGAATGCAATACACATGACTCTAGCCTTATTCGCAACATCGATCCTAGATAGGGATTTGAGATTCGGATCATAAGACTGAGTCTCTCGGAATAATCATTGAGAAAGGTTAATCTCAATGACCGCTCTAGAAATACTAGGTTGATGATGAAACATCCGTCTAGATATTTAGCCAGCGTGGAGTACTTCCACGCTACTAGATAAATGCTAGACGAATCTTCCACGCGTTCCGTTTTTGGATCGTGGAGTGAGTAGGATTGCTACCGCAACCTACTCTATCACACTCTACAGTCTCCCGCGGGAGTTCAGATCAACGATCCTTTGATTGTGGATCTCTCTCGTTGATTAGTTTTCATAGCTTTCTAATCCTCTCATAACTTTCATTCTCTCAAACTCAAAACACTCGAAAGATCTTTACACTAGCTTTTAGCGTAGTGCACCAGCTCCGCAGTCCTGTTCTGCAAAACTCCCTTGCCGCGCCACGGGTACCCCTCTTATGGATAGAAATTTTGCTGTACAGTGTAGTCATGGTGCTGCAAGCTGGAACCAAGCAAAGGAAGCGAAGTCATGGAATTGTTAGAGTTGAGCTCAGGACTGCAGTGTATTCGCGAGAGAGACTTTGGTGACATCAAAAAGCCACAACGGACAGTTGTACTCAGATTAGTTAGTTACACCCAATGGCACAAATCCAAGGAACCTTGTTCGACAGAACATGGCTCCACATGGCACACTGGTTGAAGGCATCTTTGCAGGCAGGGAAGCTGGCAACTGTGGCTGATCGTTTGGTTCCATGCTGGAATTGATAGTCCTGGTTCATTGATGACTGCACAAGACAGTTCTTTGCCCTTGCGCAACCTGATGTCTGCTGCAGCCATGGAATTGAGAGTCATCAGTCCAAGACTTCTTGGGACCATACTTGGAGTAGCTAGGCATCTTCCACTGTGGCTGATGACATTTATTTTCGCATTACCATGTACCATAGCTGTTGACATTATGATCAGTTATTTGTTCCTTTTGGAGCCTTCCATCTTTGAGAGGGCGAAGGGCTCATTAGCCTGAGTTCTTCAGCTGCTCGGATGCTCAGGTTTCTGTGGCACGTGTTGGTCACTGTTGCGATGCTTCTTTTCTCTTCTTCAGCTCTCCTTCTAAGTCCTTTCATCTAAATGAGTAAACCTCTCACACACATACATGTGTCATGGTGATGCTGCAGCTGCCGCTACGAGTGTTCCGATCTGAAGGGCTTGAATTCGAATTCCCCCAAATTTAATCTTGGTGTCATGTTTAATTGTGCTGAAAGACTGAGTTCTACCAAGACCGGCATTTTTTAATAATATTTGATGGGGTTTAAATTATGGGTCATCCCAACAAAGTTGCCAGGTCAGTAGGACACACTTCAACCTTTGAACCACGAGCCCACGTGAAGCCAGAGAGCTCCATGAGACACGAGAACCCTCCCTTTGGAAGAAGGTGGACATCCTGAGCAAAATTATTGATAGGGAGACTTGGAGACTTTACGCTCTTTGGGCGTACTATTCTTTCTACACGAGGCACCACAGCGCACAAGGCACTGTGTACATGTAGCTGCACAGTCTTCAAGCTTTGAGAGGGCGCCTCGTCGTTTCTTTGGCCAATTCCCGCGGGGGTCCTCCACGACCAGCTCCTCAAACCTCAAAGCACTTTTGGACCTTCCACGTTAAGTCCTTTCATCTTTCTTGGTAAACCTCGAACACACATGGTGCTTTTGTGGAAACTGGCAACCAAGAATGCCAATTCTGGTATCCAATCTACGAAATCATGATTCATTTGGTAGGAAAGCTCCCTCTCGAGTTGGATCTTTGATGGATTTTGGCTTTCATCAGTCCAGTTGGGATCACTTTGGTTTTGCTCACAATCTCCCCTCCCTGAGAAACAGCAAGCACCCAGCTTCGTTGTTTTTCTTGGTTCTCTCTGCAATAGCAATCAAGCAAGTTAGTCTAGCTTCCTTTCCTTTCAAACTCACGATCGAGATTGTGCGTGAGTTTCTGGAAGCCTTCCAAGTCCCTTTCTTCCATCAAGTCCTCCAAGATCAATCAAATCCTTTGTTCTCCAAGCTCTGTCTCCAAGATCGTTCCGACCATCAAGTCACCATGACGATCTACACCAAAGACGACGTTCGTAGCCACGCGTTCTATCATGTTGGAATGGCGAAGATTGAGGACCCACGCAAGACACAAGAGTATCTCAATCTGATTGGCAAGTTTGTGCAGATGTGGAAGATCTCCACGTGCCCAACAGTGAGCTGCAGCGCTTTGCCCTTGACAATCAACTGCCTTCCCTTGACAAGATGTTTGATGACGGCATCCAACGAAACAAGGGCCAACTCGTTCACATTGACCGCACCAAATTTCAATACAAGGCACAAAAGGATCCAGCTGTTCCTGGCAACTTCATCATCCAGTACCGCAAGGGTAGCGAAGCAGCATTCTTACGAATGGCTCCCAAGGGCTCCTTTTTGCTTGTGGAAGCAGTCCATGTTGGACTGTTTACCGGGAAACTTGTGAACCAGCAGACAGGCGGATTCACCATGACAAAACTCAAAAAGTATCTCAAGGACACCTATGGCATTCATTTTCAGAACAAACACGAGTTTCCTTTGCTCTTCAAACCAAAGCACAAAGATCCAAGTGATCCGCTAGACTGGATCACCAAGGCGGACCTTGTATCCCTGACTCACTTCGGAATGGCCTATCAGAGACTTGTCAAGATTGGTGTTTTCGATGGCGCGTACAAGTACAACCAGAATGAGCATCAAGCTTTGTTTCAGGTGGTCTTGTTGATCCCCCGTCAAAGAGTTTTAGAGGGAGGATATCCACAGAAACCAGTGAGGGCCGTGCTTCCCGGTAGGCAAAGAAGAGCCAAAATTCAGGACTACATGTACATTTAGTCTACCTAGGTTCCATGGGATCAGGGGAGGTAAATTGAGGACCAACATGGGGGCGAAAGGGCTTGGCTTTGCGGGATCCACAAATGAGTGGATTTATTAAACAAGGGCAATTGAGAGGCAGGGCCTGGATCAAGAACATCATCATTTGAGAGTAAGAGATTGAGTTTTGCTGGTGTTGTAAAAGAATTTTGGCTTGGGGAGCATGCATGTCATCCACAGAAACAAAAAATGAATGGAAGGAGGCATGATGGGATCATGATAACTAATGAGGGCAACCAGAGACGTGGGAAATATGTAGGGGGGGGGTCTAGCTAGATAGAGCAGGGTAGTTATCTAACGGAATTGTAGGCATTGTGAGAACAAAGAGTCACACATTTGTGTAGACATCTTGCGGTCTCCGTTTCTTGAGACCCCGAGCCTCGCTTTTGATAATAAATAGGGGTGTAAAATACTCGTTAGTTTAACAAACTATGGCCACGGAGTGGCTTTAGTGACGCGGGCAATGGGTGGGGAAGCCCCCACCTAGCTGAGTCGTCATCCACATAAATTCTGCGCAGTGTCAGTTCATTCTCAAGGGGCCCGGATAGACCCCCCATTAGTGGACAATGCTGCACTCTCGTGCAGGAGAAGCTGGCAAGGGCAGCACCTGGAGCGCAAGGCAATACCCAGGATTTGAAAGCATGTTACTCATTTGTAGTGGTTCGGCCAGTTTGGAGGTAGGTGTGCATTGATCGTTGAAGTTGTTGTTGTGTGCGGCGTTGGTAGGTTGTGCGCAGTCGTCCATGGGCAGCCCTAGCCAGTTTGATGGTTTCGAGCCAGCGAAGGGTTTTTGGGAGTGACAGGTTGAGGTTGATTTCTCTGTAGTCAAGATCGAGGCGCCAGCGGTCGGTGGGAGGTAATGTGGCATCACCTTTGGAGTACTCTTTCAGGATTTCCTGTCGGAGGGTGGAGAGGTGGGAGAGTTGGGTGGGGGTTGGTTTTGCACCGTGTAGTGCATCGTTCCTGTGCTCCCACATGCGGAAGTGAAGCATCCACAGTTCATTTGCCAAGGCAGTTGCCCAGCTGGTGCCATCACCTTGTTTTCCAATGGAGTGTAAGTGGAGCTCGTGGGCAGTGCAAAGTGGGATTGCGATTCTGCCAAGTAGAAAATTCCACATCCCAGTGTGGCCTGTGACGGAGTCCGTTTACAGTGCTAGGAGTTCCAGATC